CCGGAGCGAGCGCCGCCGAGCGGAACAAGAATGGGCAGAAGCCTCTTGATCTCGCGTCGACGGACGATGTGCGCGGCGTCTTCAGTGAGCAGTAGATGGTAAGCTCAATTTGAGCAAAAACTAAATAACAAGAGGCAAGTCAACTGGTTCTCGAAAGGACAAAATCTATTAACTAATTAGAATTGTTTTTTCTCTCTTTCGGTTGTTTTTTGTGGTGTAGAATTCGAATTTTAAATTCGCCACCACAAGAAATGTCGGTATTGGCAGAATAAATTGTCCCTACAAATACATGGACATGAAATGTACATAAAGTATTGTCCCTTGTGTTTCCCTTGTCTCTGTCTATTGTTTGAAAATCTAACGTCACATACAAATAACCAGAGTAAACATGATCCATGAGAAAAGGAGTGTTGGTCATTTAACCAAATACTATCGAGACAATACAGGACACTTTGAACCTTACTCATACTAGGTATTAATGGGAGGCAATGTTTCACCAGCGAACTTAGTGACGTGACCTGTTAAATCCACGACAATTTCAAATTTTAGTACATATACCACCTTTTAGATGACTGCGACATGTAAGGAAACAGAATAGAAAGTAATCTAAAAATCTTTCAAACTTGTACACTTTGTACTTGTAATCTCAATGGATAAAATAGGTTGAGCCGCTAGGGGCCCTAGCTTTAAATATCTCCCGGTGTAACGCAGTGTCATGTGTTGTCTCTATAGTATTTGATTTAACCAGGGAGTGGCGCCCTTGAGTCCAGTGTAACCAATGCGTATAGTTCAGAAATCATAGATACGTTATTTTATATTAATCCGGATTCGCGCAGTTTTTACGCGATCACTGTGAACTGAAAACCGTTTAAACCAACCCTAACTCTTCTTGCGAGCGCGAATCGTCCTCCAACGTTGCTGAGATACGAGGAGCCCGAGGTCATCGTCTCCGCCCGCAGTCGCTTGCGTCGGCGTATAAGCGCCCGTGTTGACTCCGATGAAACACGGCGGTACATCAAGGCCACGAGCTGGATGGGAAGGGAACATTGTCATCCAATCGGTTGCTCCAATACCAAAAATTTAAATCGTAACGAAGCTTCCGATTGGCTTACGGTGTTCCCCCTCTCCTTTCAGCTCGTGATTTTTACCGGGCAACAGCTACGAAATCTTACGCGCCCTCTACGAAAGAACAAAAAATAAAAATAACCGTCAGGTAGTTATTGCTGGAGACTTAAATCTCCCAGACGCAAATTGGAAGGGGATTGTTTGCGAAGGGAAAGTCCAACAGCTAGTCAACCGACTTGTCTGGGACAGCGGATTAGAGCAGGTAGTAGACAGGCCGACACGGCAGGATGCGATTCTGGATATTTGCCTGATTAGACAGTAAGATTTATTCTTATCGTGCGACGTTTTAGTAGGTGTAAGTGACCATAAAGCCGTTTTAGTCTATTACAGTTAATTTCAAAGAAAAGTATTACCACCGGTATTCTAGTGAAGGAATACAAGAAAGCGAATGTACAAGGGTATCAAAATTACTTAAGAGAACGATAGGGCGAGTTTCTTAGAATAGGAGGAGAAATTGATGAAATATGGGGAGAGTTTAAAAATATTTTAGTAAATGCTGAGCAGGCTTTTGTACCAAGCAAATTGTTAAAAAGTAACAGCGATCCGGAATATTATAATGCAAAGATTTGGCGACTGAAAAGAAAAACCAGAGAAGCATTTAACAACAGACGCCGCCGTGAAAAGCATATGACCTTATTGCGAAATTATACAAAAGCATTAAGGAAGGAAAAGAAAATGGCAGAGGAACGTCATTTAAGACATATTGATGCGGAGGGTAGTAATAATTGGTCGGTATTTTTAAATACGTTCGTAGAAAGAAAGGAAGTAAAGACGAGATTCCAGCTGTTCGTGTTAATAATTCGCCTATAATGGACGACAGGGAAAAAGCGCAGACTTTTAACGCATATTTCAGCTTGGTTTTCAAACTGAAATCTAACAGTATTCAGATACCAACGCTGGTAGATAGAAGTAGTTTTCATATTGATGTAAGTACTTTGCAGAAAATAATAAAATTAATGAACAGGAAAATCACGAGGTCCTGATGGTATTTCCACGGACATCATTAAATTAGGTGGAGAGGCTATTCTACCTTATTTAATTATGTTATTTAATGTATCAGTAAACAACGCTTGGGATTGTTTGGTTGGAAGATTGGAAGCTGGCTCTCGTAGTACCTATTTTTAAAAGTGGCGACAAGACAATACTTAGTAACTATAGGCCGGTAAACCTTACATCAGTCGTATGCAAACTTATGGAACATCCAATTTCAAGCTATATCAGGAAAGAATGGGAGGGCAGAGTGAATTTATCAGGGTCAGCACGGTTTCAGAAATGGTTTCTCATGCAAAAGTCTCACTTCTACAGAACTCAGCCGACGTAGTTGATGAAGAGGAAAGTATCGACGCGATAGTAATAGATTTTCCAAAGCTTTTGATGTTGTTCCACACGTCTTATAAAGAAATTAATAGATTCGGGTATAGGCACTAGAGTGGTAGCGTGGATAAATGAACTACTCCGGAACAGGGGTAAACTAAAATCTCGAATCGCCTTTGAGTCACAAGACTTTTCGTTTCTTGGAAGAGAAACTCAGCCGCCGATCGCTGCTGCTTTCTTTGTCGACCGGCTTCAGTCTTCCTTAGTCGACCATTGTTGTATAAACTAGTCTCCTAGCGGCGGCATCGTGAATTCGCGTCGCATTATTTCGTAACTCATTTGTTTCTCCAAGCTCTACTGCTACTGCTGTGGGGGATATGTACGGATATCTAGTGCGACTCCTAATTTATGTAAGATACAAATGGTGCGCCGCCTGTATTGTATTGTATTTTTTGATAGTTTCCGTCAATCTACGATTCAAATTTAATTTGTGCGTTGGCTGGCTTCGCCAATCTTGTTTACACATTTTTTAAGAAAAAAATTGACAATAAATTCAAAATTGTAGCAATTAATTAGTAATAAATTATTTAAACTTTTATTCATGTTGTGCTGGCATGGTTGTTCCAGGTGGACACACATAGCATCCTACTTTCTCGAAATCATCTGCCGGGACTATTAACAGCACTGGATTCAGGTGGTTGTAGAGAGTGTTTGATGCGGAGGTAAGCAGGCATTAGTGGATGGAGATGACGCGGATACAGCTTTACCTTCTTCCGGAGAACCTCTGGGAGCCGGCGGGGCAGGCGTGCCCAAGGACTCGCTGTGCGTCATGTGGTAACAAACAGGCTGAGAACTGACCCACAGGCATGGGCAGGGCTGGCAACATTGGTTTGGGCCCTCTGCAAGCTGCATTCAATCTTCCACTTGTGATTTAGAGAAAGGGACTTTGTGTGTTCTTACTGATTCAACTGAGTGTAATTTGGGAACGGGTAGCGATTGAACATTTTCAATTGCAGCCTTCATTAAAGATTTTCATTGATTTTCTAATACATTTGCCTAGAAATTTATGTTAGTATATCTCTTGTTTACGTCATACAACATGTAGAGTAAAAGAGAAGAGAATGTA